GAATTTGTGCTCTACCCCTCACCAGCTTTGTGACCTTGAGCAAATTACAAAACTTGCTTGACCCTCAGTTTCTTCTTCTAGAAAGTGGATAATTCCTACCTTGGAGTACCATGGGGAAGATGCAGTGGGATAGAACATGAGGAGGCTTCTGCCACCATACCTTAGTAAGCCTCCATCATATCCCTCCCTGCCCCCACCTGCTCACCCAGTGTGGCCCTGCATGGGTTAACCGCACAGCCCAGTAGCCACCAACCAGGAGCAGAAAAACAGGAGGCTTGGAGGAAGAAGCCAGTGGGTGTACTTCTAGGCAGAAAGGGAAGTAGGATGAGATGCTACCCATTAAAGCTGACTAATTCCGCTGGAATTATGTGGCGGACAAAGGAGATTGATTCAGTAAAATCTCTGGAGTGCTTCAGAGACACCCTGTGTGTGTAGCGAGGCCCCTTCCAGAGCAGGGGCGGGATGGCTGTGGGTGTGACAAGGGGTTTCTCAACAATGCTCTGAATTCCAGTCAGCGGGAGCCGCTTCCCCAGGCACTGAGGGAAGGGCGGCCTGGGCTGAGCAGGCTTCCTGCCATGCTCCAGCTGCAGGCGGCAGCCCTGGGGGGCTCCCCTTGCCGGTGGCCCCTCTGGATCAAGTGACAGACCAGGGCTGACCCACGGCCCCCACCGACAGGCTGGCAGCTAGCAGGCAGACCGGCCGGCGGCCCCAGGCTGAGCTCACTGCCACAGGAATCGTGAGCCATGCCGTGTCACCGAGGCCCGCCGTGTCTGTGGGGCAGGAGAGGCCCCATCCCTGTGGCTGCACCTTGCTCTCCTTAAAGACCATTGGCTCTGGGGGCAGGGGGCAAGGACCACTTGTCCCTGTATCCCTGGGTGGTCCTGACATCCTGCCATTTTACCTTCCATAAAGACAATTCATAAAATGGCTAATGACAGATGATGTCATTTTTGTGCCGTGGTGAGAAGTTCACATGACTATGTTCATAAAGCAAAACTCAGTGCTCTGTCCGACGCTGTGACCCTGTGTAGGGTTTGGAAAATATGGTTCCCATCAATATGCTAAACTGAGGAAGCTAGTCTGTGGTAGAAAAATCCACCAGGCATGGCTTGATTAACCTAAGAACAGTACCTCCAGCCAGCCTGCCTACCCTGCAGAAATTCTGTCCCTTCCTTTTTTTTTTTTTTCCTTAAGAAAGGCAGACTGCCACACGCAGCGTCTCATTTGGATGTGTCTGCAGTCTTGGAAGCTTGACTATCTTACGTTCTCCTACAAATGAACCTTGAGAGCTTGTTTGGAAGTTCTAGCTGGGGAGCGCAGCTACTCGTCTACCCTTGACCGAAGAACAGTCCTCCTCTATCGGGGAAGGCCGTCCTCTTCGACTGAGTGTCCAGCTTCTGGAGGGACTCACATGGAGCAGTGAGAGAGGAAGGGGGCACCCGCCTGGCCAGCCAGATCAGCCAAATCAACCGTGGCGATCGATGGGGTGACAGATGTTGCAGCCAGGTCACCCACACGTCCCCTTCCTGAGGCACACAGCAATAGAGAAACCCAGAACACACACACACGTGCGTGCAATGTCTATGAAACCAAATACCATCCTTCTGCAAAAAAGAAATCTATTTGAGGTCTCATTCATCTTGTTGGTCCATTTGGGTCATGGAATAATAGAGGAGATTTTTGGTGTCCCTTACAAACCACCAAACACCAGGAAATATTTCAAAAGAGGTGCCTCTTGAGTGTGGGTGATTTTGAGGAACCCACACTCATCACAGTTTGCTATTCCAAGGAAGTCTGTCAGGACTTCAGGGAGGAAAGCAATCACTGGCTTATAAACCTGGGCTCCAGGACGCCCTTTATACTCTCAAGGATTTCCCCATCAGTTTGTCCTGTTTGGAGTTTCACATTCGTGAAGCTTCCTTTGATTTAGAGGTTTTACTCTCAGAGTCCTCTTTACATAATGTAATCTTTGCATTACCAGCACCAGCCAAGCTCACGAGATCACTGATAGCTACATCTTGTTGGGTTTATTTTCCTCTATTTCCCTCATGGCTTTCTTTCCTTTTTCCTCCCTTCATTTCTTCTTCCATTCCTCCCTCCCTTCTTCCCTCCTTCTTCTACTTCAGCCATTTATTTATTCCATAAATATCTGATGAGCACGCACCATGCATTGGAAGGGAGTATGGAACCGTATCTGAGAGTCTGGGGACAAGGGTCCAGGCCCTTTGCTTGCTTCTTCCGTGACTTAGACATGGCTTAAAATCCAGTTCCCCGGGAAACCCGGCTGGTTCAGTCAGAAGAGCATGCGACCCTTGATCTCAGGGTTGTGAGTTCAAGCTTCACATTGGATGCAGAGATTACTTAAAAATAAAAATAAAAATAATGTTAAAAAAACAAAAGCAATAACTGGGTGATGGGCGTTAAGGAGGGCACTTGTAATGAGCACTGGGTGTTATATACAACTGATGAATCACTAAACTCTACCTCTGAAACTAATAGTACACTGTATGTTAATTAAATTGAATTTAAATACAAAATTAAAAAAAATAAAAATAAACAAAAACAAAAACCCAGTTTTGTCATCAGCCAAAAGGGAACAGTAATGAGACCTACCTCAATGTTGAGGGATGATATGACCTATTACATGTAAAATACTTTGCTCCATGTCTGGTTCTTCGCAAATGTCTCCTATATGTTATCATTGCTATGAAAATAATACAGAGTGTTGGTTGTGTGGTTCAACCACTCAGACTCAAATCTTGGCCCCTAGCTACCAGCAACGTGATCCTGGGCAAGTAACATCCCTGTGCCTTAGTATCCTCATCTCTAAAACGGGGCTACTAGTAGATATCTACTTCATAGGGCTTTGAAAAGACTTCTTGAGATAACATTTGTAAGATACAAAAGAGAGTGTACTCAATAATATAATAATATATTAATTAATATTATTGTTGCTGTTATTGGAGATTCCAGAAATACAAAAATGAGAAATAAGAAAGATACTCTAGCAGGAAAGCCAGGCATACAAATGAATGACAACATGGTGGGATGGTAAAAAAGCAGAAGTTCATACACAGCACAGGACTAAGGTTTAACTTTTAGAGAGAAGGATGAAAAAACTTCACCAAGAGGTGCCCAAACAAGAAAGGAATAGGATACGTGTAAAACCTCTCTAGAAGCCCCTTCCTTTACTTGCCTCATCTTCTCAAATTTACTCAGCAGTCTCATCTCAAGTCCGAGTACCTTGGGACCATTTTCCAAGTTGTCTGTAATCGGGCCCAACTCTATTATTTTTGCATACTCTGATATGGCAACCCACCCCACAGTTGAACATCCCCCTTATTGTCCCTCAGTCGGACCTTCTGACCTTTGACCCTGCAGTTCCCATTTCTAGAATGCCCTCCCTCTCCTGTCCACCCATGGATAAACCCTACTTGACCTTCAAAACCCAGCAAAACTCCACATTGGTGTGCTCTTCCCTTTCCTCCTCTGCACTTTCCAGAACCCCAACTTCCCTCCACTGTACTTCTCATCTGCTTTCCACAGCTGACTCGCTATTCAGGGGATCCCCATTTCTGACACTTTGCACCCCACTCCTGCTCCTCAGTTCCAATCAATACCCAAGTCCTGCCCATTCTTTCTCCACAGTGACGTCACACCAGCTGCTTCTGTTCCTCCCTAAAAGCCAGCCCTCCCTCCTCACACCCTTCCAGGTGCTTCCACCGGCCTCTGAACTGAGTGCCTGACTCCTGGTTCCTATTTCCAATCTCCCCCACACTCTGTTGCCTCCACAGAGACTAACTGGGGCCCAGGAAAGGGGAGAAAGCTAATTTTCACTGTCTACTTTTTAGGATCTTTCAAAGTTTGCATTATGAGCACAAATTATCTATTCATAAAAGAATGCAAGAAATTTAAAAATAAATGAATACATTGAAATTAAACCTATATTCTTCATCCATTTTGTCCCAGTTGAGTTGGCAACTCTTGGGAATCTCCCCAGCCTAGGATCCAGAGTCTCCTGGCTCTGCCATATAATGTTTTCCTTCTTGTAGGGCACAGACAAGGTGGCTCCTTGGCCATCTCAAGCAGGTCTATGTGCTCTCTCCAGAGAAGGGCTGCGGATAGGCTTTGAAAGAGAGACCCAGTAATGACAGCAAATCCTCTGTTAGAAGTCCCTCTTTGTTTAGAAATCCTGTTTGCTTGACTTTTAAGTTTTTGAGAAACAGGAAGAACCATTTTCATCCCTAGCCAGATAAGGCAAGATAAAGCTGGGTCACTATGAGTTGGTGATTTCCACTCTTTATCAAGGAAGCCCTGCCAGGGCTGGGGTCCAAGCTGAGGGCAGGAAGCTGTGGGTAAGGCTGAGTAGTCATTGGCACGGATCTTCAAAGGAAATATAGAGTGAGTGAGACCCTTTGACCATCGGCTCCTTGATATTCACATTCCTGTTCCTTTGTGATCCAAAGGCTCCTGAGAGACAGCCACAGTTATGCAGATCCTAAACACACTGCCTAAAGCAGGGACATAATTGGTAGCCCTTTATAAAACAGGCACGACATTAAGCTCACAGTGATGCAACAGTAGGGCCCCCCCCCCCGCCCCGGGCGGAGTGCTGAGATGCTTAATGGCACCCCACGGGCGGTACCCTGGCGCTGACATGGACAGTAAGGGGCCCCCTTCTGCCCCTAACTGAGGCCCGGCTCTTCCCAGACCCCACGTCCCACCTCCAGCCACAGCAGAGCCCCAGGCTCACCTCTAACCCTGGAGCCGTGTTCAAAATCCTGAGGCACGCTCCTGCCACACTACGGGCAAGAGACAAGAGACGGAAGAGTGCAGGCGCGAGTCATTGGTGAGGACAGAAAGGTCAGAGGCGGGCTGCAGGTCCAGGAAAAGATCAGAGGGTCCATAAGAGAGTAATCTGAGCTGCAACCAGCGGGGAAAAAGTGCCTCTAGCAAGTGCACGCCCCTCTGCCCCCAGTCGTTTGCAGCTGGTGGCTTACCTCCATTCTTCTCCCTGGACTTGCCATCTCACATCTGTCAGTCTGATTCCAGGTCAGAGACGTCAGCCAGTTACAAGCCATTATCCCTGCATTGAGGGAAGCTTTGATTCAATTAATGGGTCATTCGAAAGGGCCCTTTGGCTTCCAAACCAGGTTTTCTTTTCCCATTGCTGTATGCTTAAAATAAGTTTTTACAAGTCCAAGTAGCAGTTCCCGTGGAAATGGGACTGAGTTGAAGAGAGCGGAGGGAGGGATGCCCTCCATCCCGAGACCTCAGTGCTCACCACATATCCGGGAACGCAGAGGTCAAAAGGCAGGAGCCAGGCTCCTTCAACGTGTCTGCCCACATCTTCTTCCCGAAGGCAAAAAAATTTCAAATTAATGTTTGTTTTCTTTCTCAATCAAGGGCTTTGCTTTTTTAAGTGAAGTGCCTTCTACCAAGAGGAATTTTATAATCCAATTCAAGGGGATTTCAGTTCATGAAAAGAGGATTAGGAGCCATTGGGTAGATGACAAGTGCCAGCACATTTCCTATCAAGAGCCTCTTAAGATTTTTTCCCTGTCTGGGAGCTCTGCTCTCTTTGCTCTAAGAAGCTCAGAAGAGACATATTAGAGACTTAGGTAGTTTTCTCTTCAGAGTACCCCCTCCTCCTTCTCCTGCTCTTTGCCTCACATCATTTAGAAAGTCCATGCTGCCTTTTTACGCTGAGAGGAAAAGCAAAAATGTCTGGGAAATGAAGACCAAAATTATAACCAATCTTTGAACCCCGGGGCACAGGTAGTAAAATGAACAGGATCTGGATTTCTTCTGTTCAGATTGCTATGTCTCTGCTGGGCCAGACCCCTCATCTGAGGAAAGGGCACAGTGAGAGCATTCTTTGTCCCCAGACGGCAGCAGTGAGCTAGGCTGGCTCCTCAAGCAGGAGCTATGGAACAAGGTGAAGAGAGACCTCACCAGCAGGACCCAGGCAGCCAGAGCCAACTCCCAGGGAGCCTCCCGCCCCAGCCTGGCTCTCCCCCAGGGCTGAGGCTTCCATGGCATTCTTCTGTGAGATGTGTCAGCTGGGAGGAAGGGGGAGCAGACAGCCCTTTCCAACCTCCCTCTGACTCACAGGACAAAAGAGGGCTAATTGTTTTTCTCCTGGATGAGCATGCAGGCATTTCAGAAAGCCGCCTTTTGAATGGGAGAATTGGAACTTAGACTTGGCAACATCTGGGTCTTGCTTCTTGCTCCTCCACTTTGTAGTGTTCACACCCCCGCCCCCAAGCTTCCCATCTTCCACCTGAAATGGGGAAGAGGACTAATACCAATTTAACTGGCCATTATCAGAATTAAAGGAAAGATGGTACAGGATAGAGCCAGACCCAACACATGTCTGCTAAACGGGAATCATCAGTTATATTCAAATGGGCAGATTCAGGAATAACAAACCCAATTTGCACCATTCAGAGCCGCTTTTATTTCACTTTATTTTTATGGTTTCTAAATCCTTTGATATAGGATCGCATCAGGCCTTTCACTGTCAGCAACCCCCGCCCCCACCACCACCACCAGGCTCCAAGCTGAGGATGCTCAGGATAAAGTGCTCCTCCCTCCCGGTGCCCAGCCTGGAGCTCAGCTGCAAGCGGGATCTCTCTCTCCTTGTGCAGAAATTCTGAAGCAAGCCCCTCCCTCTGCCTGCAGCTGAGGTGGGAAATGTCCCAACATTACCAGTGGAATGATTACATTTTTACTCACATGTTTTCCTCCCTGGTGTATATCCACCAACGCTTTTTGAAAAGAACATTTTTTAAAAAATGCTTTTCTGCTGTAATTCCTTTGCCTCGTCTTTCCTTCTCCCCTTGCCCCAGCTTTTTTGTTTGTTGGTTGGTTTGGTTTGGTTATTATTCTAGTACAATAATAGTCCCAGTTACTAGAAGGGGTGTGAATGGGACATGCTTCCTTATTACCAGGACAAATCGTTAAAGAAGGAACTGTTTTTCATGTGTTTATTCTGGCACATTTACTAAGCTATGACTGTCTTCAGGTTACTCTGCTCAGGAAAGGAAGGTGAATATGGCACAGCCAACTCCAAGGAGCCCAAAGGTTAGGACAGGGGCTTTGAGCCCTGGATTCAGGGGTAGTTGGGGTGGGGAGTGGATTCATAGTGTCCGTGACCGTCTGAAATTATAGACAAAATTGTTTATGTATATACACATGGTAAATTTTTCAGGGGGAGAATCCATAGCCCTTACCAGATTCTCAAAGGTATCCAGAATTTAAGAGAAGTGGGGGTGGGGAGGGGCAGCTAAGGACCACTGATCTAGAAGGAGGTAGTGAGTGGCATGTGAGTGGATCATTAAGATTCAGTTTTGCAATTTCTTGCAGTCTCCTTTGACTGACTGATTCTCTCTCCCCATATCCAATCTGTCAGGAAATCCTACCGGCTCTACCTTGAAAACATGTCACAAATTCATCCTTTCCTCACCACGCCACGGCTACTACCCTGGTCCCTGCCATCAAGTTCATCCACAGTGTTGCCTCAACCCCCATCCCTACAGTCTATTCTCACCCCAGAAACCAGCCCGATGCTTTTAAAGAACAAAGCAGATTATGTCACTCCTCTGCACAAAATGCATCAAACACTTCTCTGCCCATGCAGAATAATTCCAAAACCCTTATTCTGTTCCTGAAGAAGCAATATACTATGCCCTTCTCTCTGCTCCTTCTCTGATCTTGACCCTGACATGTTCCTTTTCATTCAGTCCTCGTCAGCCTGCTTCACTTCCTGCTACTCCTCATATATCCCTCATAAATGCCACAGGGCATTTGCATATCACGTCCTCTGCCTACAACACTCCTCCCCCAGATGTCAGGCTGGCTTACTCCTGCACTTCATTCAAATCTCTGCTCAAAGGTCACTTGACCAAAAATGTCTTTCATGACCAACCTAGCTCAAACAGCAGCCTGCTTTGTCTCAACCTTTATTTTCTCTTTCCTCTGACATTAAATCGTATGTTTATTTATATATTGGGTACACACACACACACACACACTCACACAGAAAAGAATTTGAGCTCCTTGACAGCAGGGACTTTGTCAGGTTCATCACTCTATCCCAGCCCCTAGCACAGTGGCTGGTGTATAGAAGCTGCTCAATAAGCATTTGCTGAACGAATAAATGAGTGAATTGTGCATAAGTGTAGAGACAGTGAAGTAGGACATAATGGCTTTATCCACAGAACGCTACAGAAACACATGGAAGAAGAATCCACTAAATCTGATTTGAGCAGGTGGCTAGAGTCGGGGTGGGGCTCTAGATGGAGACCATCAGCCGGGTGGAAGGCAGTGCAGAGGAGAGCTAAACAGCGCCTGCACACATGCGGAACTCCACTGCCCCGCATCTCCTTCCTTATCTCTGTCGTCCTCCAATCTGAGGACAGACAGCACACTTGTCAGCCTCCAACAGTCCTCCAAGCCTCCAGCCTCCAGCCCACAGGCCACTGTTTGGGCCCCTTCTCTCCTCTCTAGCTTCATCATGTGTTCCTTACCGCCTCACGGTTTATATTCCAGCCCCTCTCTATCACGTTATTTTTCCACTTTGCTCCACTCCTCTAGCTTGGTCCAGTTAATGCTTATTCATCTTTCAACTGCTGGATTAGATGCTGCTTCCTCTGGGAAGCCTTCCCTGATGCCCTTCTATGGCCCTCTTGACTTCTACATCTTAGCATCCCTGCAACCCATGGTGTTGCAGTTGCCTGGTGATCTCTGTCTCCTCCAAAAGTCTCTAATAGCCTGTAAGCTCACAAAGGCAGGGGCCATGCATCTCATGCTTCTGCTTACAGAGTAGTCCTCTCTCCATACCTGTGGTTTCCTCCTCATTTCCCAGGCAAGTGCTAAGCCCAACCTTGAAGCCTAATGTCACCTCCCACATGCATCTGTAGGCATGTCCCCATCTGCCTGCCTCCCCACCAGGCACCTTTTGTCCCTCGTGTCTCAGTCTGAGTTAAGGTGGAAGAAGATGTGTGTGGGAAGTGGGAGAGGCTTCCAAACCACCTCTGGGTCACCAAACTTAGGCTGACACTCCCTCTCCTCCTCCCAGGGGGAATAAGAGCAGATTGGCAGCTGTTAGATTTCTCCGATTTTATTTCCATGAATTGGAAATTCATCTTTCACTCATTGGGAAAGCAGAATTCACAGGATCTAACGTATGAAGCAGAGTCTGGGTTCTGATTCATTCCTTGGGAGAGATTTGTTTCTTATGGTGGCTTTTCCAGATCTGAGATAACAGCATCTTCCATTTTATTCTTCCCGGGTAAGTCTCTAAGGGGTCCTACTGGGCAAATAGATAACCAAGAACACAGCTTCTGGACACTGCAGAGAACACCTCTCTCTAATTTTTGCAGGGAGGCATTTCATTACAAGGGCTTGTTGGAGGAAAAGGTATGGGAGACCTAGGGATATGAGTACCTAGTGCATTTGGCACGCTTTACATTTTAGCAGAAAATAGCAGCAAGGAAGATGTTGCTTTGGGCTGGGGAGGATATTTGGGGAAGAATTGGGGGATGTAGGAGGGTACACAGAGACAATGACACAGAGGGCAAAGAAAAAGGAACTGGGTGGAGACTTCAGAGTCACTGAAATTAATGGGGGCCCTAAGAATCTAGCTGATCTTCACCTTTTGTATGCATATCTTGGGTTAGACATTCATTCAACAAACACTACCCGAACACCTACACGGTGCTGTGGACCGTGCCGGGTGCTGACAAGAGGCAACAATGGCATCTGTGGCTGGAGATGCTTATGGTACAGACTGAGCACAGCACTTACCACTGGGAGCTCTGCTTAAAGAGCACAGAGGTTGCAATCTGAGAGATCCACGGGTTCAAAACATGGCTCTGCGTCTTCGTGGCTACATGGTCCCGAGCCAGTTGGCAATCCCAGGTTCCTAATTTGTAAAAGGGAAATGATAACCCTTATCTCAGCATGTTGCTGTGAAGCATAAACAAGGGGATAGCACTTAGGAGGCCTTCCACAAAAGCTCGCTTCTATTATGCATTCATTTTTCACTTAATAAATATTTATCAAGGACTTTATAACTTTTTACTGTTACTCTGGTCCATACTCTTGCTTGCTCTCAAAATTCCATCATCATTTGTCTCCATTATCTCAATATCTCCTTGAAGACAGGAAAGGACAGGAGAACATTGGCAATTTGGAGTAACAACATATACTGACGCGTCTCAATAGGCATTCTACCTGCCAAATAGTTTGATTTTTTTTCCCCCAAAAGGAGAAAATTTATCTCTCACTAAATCACTGGGCAGGATGCCTTCTTCCTCAACTGACAGCTGATGTCGCTCGCAGTGGTTCTCTATGAATGGCTGGCAGGTGACCACCAAGGGCGGCTGCAGCCCTGACGTGGTGGCCAGGCAAGCTTGGCCAGCACCACCTGGCAGAGGCCACCCGGCCGGGCAAGATCAAATGTCCAGACAAGACTCAGGTTTGTCCCATTGTCACCCAAGGCCCAAAGAGCTACAACACTGATCTGGCTTCACTGAAAAAGGATACTCAGGGACAACCACACATACACTTCTGCTATGTACATGCGAGCATGCCTGCACGCGCACACACACACACACACACACACTCTCTCTCTCACACACACAATCAGACCCAACATGTTTTTTTCTAAGCACAGACACTCTGCAATGAACCTAGAGTGGATCCTGGTTTTTTAAAAAAAGATGCTAGGGGCACCTGGGTGGCTCAGTTGGTTAGGCGTCTGCCTTTGGCTTAGGTCATGATCCCAGGGTCCTGAGATCAATGGAGCCCCTTGTCAGTCTCTCTGCTCAGCGGGGAGTCTGCTTCTCCCTCTCCCTCGGCCTGCCCCTCTCCCTGCTTATATAGTCTCTCTCTCTCTCTCTCTTTCTCTCTGTCAGATAAATAAAATAAAAAATCTTTTTAAAAAAGATGCTATAAAAGCATTCTTAATACAATTG